GAGTAGAAAGTATTGATGATCAATGACATCAACTGGGCAATTTCTGCCTGAAAGGCAAACGTCTCAACCTCCTCCTCCTCCATCGGTTGGTCTTGGGTCTGGGTTTCCTCAGGCATCTACAAACGACACCACACCCGTATAAACACCACATTCTCCAATATTTTTTTGGAGCCGAATTTTATAGAAACGTGCACAATTTTAGTGAACCGAACAGAAAGCGGCTGACAAAGGGATGACCTCATTCCGAGTTGCGGTAACCGCGAGGAGCGCGCACGCTTCCCGAGGCCGCTCCCGACCAGAGCCCGGCGGCCCAGCGCCTTCCTAACGGCCTCCCCCACCCTGTCCCCGCGGCGGGCGGCGGCTGCGCCATGGCGGCCTCCTCCTCCGCTGCGCCCCCCAGGAGGGCCCGGGCCCGGGCGCGGCGGCGCTCCAAGTCCTGGTGCGTCCGGCCCCTCCTGCGCGGTCGCTGCTCGTACAGCCCGGCACACCCCAGACCACCTGGCCCATTTTTAAATGGGGCGAGAGGCCGCCGCAGGCCCGCGGCCCGCAATCTAGCGACCATGGCCGCCCTAGGCCCAGCCGCCCAGGTGGTTCAAGAGCCGACCCCGGGCCCCTCGTTCGTTCTGCGCCCGACCCTGGGACCCCTTGCCTATCAGAGTCCCCCCCAAACAGCTCCCTCACCTTGGCTAATGGATCGCACAGGCTCCACACTACAGCAGCACCAGGACGCTGAAGCAACTGGCGCGCCGCCCCCGCGCCGCCCTTATATAGCGGCGGGCCCGCCCAGCGCGCGGCGCCTTTTCCAGAAGCCTCCCGAACCTTCCGGAAGAACCCTCCCCAACTGCCGCCGCGGCCGCGCGCCTGCGCCTGCGCCCTGGCTGCGGCCCGTTTCCGGGCACGCGCAGATTTCGCGCATAGCTTGGCCGGGACGCCCCTCCCCCAGCAGCAGCCGCGCGTTCCCGTGCCGACCACAGTACGCCTGCGCAGCGCGGAACTCTCGGGAAGGTCTTGACGTCTTCCCGGGCCGCCTCCCCCAGCCCTCCCCTTGCTCCGCACACCCTCCCTCTTCACGCCGATCGCGGGTGGCGGGTTCGCACGGCTTGTGGGTCAAGTACTGGATTTCTAAGCTTGAGTATTGGTGAAACCTGCGAAAGTAAAATTTGAATTCTTGGAAGAGTGTCCGCTTATTGTGGAGGTCTGGGTGCCCCAAAGTCAGGCCCGCTGGGCGGGGGTAGAGGGGCTCGGACACGTGGACGATCAGCAGGAGACCAGGCCGAGCCCAGTTGGGGGGGAGGAGGCCGTGCGAGTGGCGGAGAGCGCGCCAGGGTAGGAACGGGGTAGTTGCCTCTCCACATCCTCAAGCTCCTCCTCCCCCGTCCCCCCTCCCCGGGCGGTGGTCCTGTAATGCACTTTAATGGGCGCGAATTCTCCGCGCTGAGTTGCAATCCCTTGGGGATTTCTCCCTGCCTTTGATTCGCCTTAAGACCATGCCCTTAGCGCTTCCAGGGCCCTTTAGTTTGGGATTCCGGGATTCGTTGAACAAAATTCACGCTTACCGTGCCATATCCACTACGATTTGATAAAGCTCGTTGTTTTTGCTTACTACTACATTTGAAGTTTCGGTATTAAGTATCTAATATTAGGGTGATGAACTTGCCCCCAAAGTCAGTTTCTAAATGGGAATTCTAAGTGTTCTGAACAATGCCACGTCACACCCATGAGAACCGTGGAGGCCTCAGGTTCCTCAGACTACCTCAAGGTTAACACCCGCAGCTCCCCACACCCCTGCCTGGCCCAGATACCCTGCCCCCTTCGCGACTCCTCTTTGTCTCCAGCTCCTCCCACTATTAGCCCTTCTACTTTAGAGACTATCTGCCAGGCCCTCGGGAATAATCTGGAAGAAACAAACTTCATGGAACATTGACGCCACTTCCTAGTCTGGAACATAAACCAGCTTCCCTAGGAACTGGGGTTTTCAAACTGGGTCCTCATGAGCATTTGAAATAACAAAGAGTCTTGACTAGCATTAAAAAGGGGGGAATATAATGGAAAGTATCAGCCCCCAAGGCAAGGGCTGTTCTGCAAGTGTTTGGTCATATTGTAAATATTTAACAACTCAGGTGAATGTTCTGGGCCCAATTTTCCCCTGCATTTTGGAGAGAAAGCGGGTGGAATGGGGAAGGAGGAGGGGCAGGTCCCCTGTTGCTACTTTCTGCAGTGTGAAGAGGTGGGGACTGGCCCTGTTAAGCCCTTGCTCCTAGGTCCTTTTCCGGTTACCTACCAGCCAGCCACTACCTCACCTAACTTGGAGGCCTCTCCCTTCCTACCCCAGTGTCTGCTTTTCCTAGGAGGTTTAGCTTTTCTTATAGATGAGCCATCTGATGCCCTAGCTCTGACGTTCTTTGCCCTCTGTTTTTGAGGCCTTCACGTTCACTCTTCTCAAGTTAATTTACCCCCAGGCCATTTCTTGGATCTGGATGTCACTGAGAAGATTATTCCTGGCCAGGCTCAAATTTAATGTCCCTCTCTCCTTCCCCAACATCCTGTCCTGGCTTTCTCCTGCCTCAGTTACTATCTACAAGGACATTTTGAGTCCTGTTCCCCTTGATCTTTAGGTAACATTCACACTGTCACCTTCCATTCTCCTTAAGCTCTCTGCTACATTTCCACCATCAACATGCTATGATTTTCCTCCTGCTCCCTGATTGTTCCTTCTCTGTCTCCTCTCCAGAGTCATCCCCTTCTCCTTTCCCTATCACTTGAACTCCCTGGAAGTGGGTCTAAGACTTGGAGAATATTTATCTTGTCTAGAACTCTGACTTGCCAATAATACCTATGTGCAGGTGAATCATGAAGAGCCCTGGCCAGGACTCTGAGGTCATGAGCTTCCTCCCCCTGTCTGGCCCTCTTTGAGGGCATGGCATCCAGGTGACCAACTATCCTACAACCTTCCAGAAACAGAAGCTTCTCCGCAGGGGATCTGGCATTGAGTCCTGCCATTTTTTGCCTTTTTTGTGTGTGTGTGAGGTAAGAGTCTCATTATGTGGCTGTCGTAGTGTCACAGCTCACAGCAACCTCCCACTCTTGGGCTTAAGTGATTCTCTTGCCTCAGCCTCCCAAGTAGCTGGGACTACAGGCATCATCCACAACGCCCAGGTTTTTTTTTTTTTTTTGGTTGTAGTTGTCATTGTTTGGCAGGGCCAGGCTGGATTCGAACCCACCAGCTCCAGTGTATGTGGCTGGCATCTTAGCCACGGAGCCACAGGCGCCAAGCCCATTTTTGCCTTTAAAAGCCCTCAGATCCAGCCACTTCTTTCCATTTTCATCTGCCATTTCTCCTCCCTCAGGTTCCCCCCACACATAAACACAACCATCAGCTCCTTGCATCTGGTCTTGCTCCAACCTGTAGCCAAGATGAGCTTTAAGAACACAAATCTGGGTGGCACCTGTGGCTTAAAGGAGTAGGACGCTGCCCCCATATGCCGGAGGTGGCAGGTTCAAACCCAGTCCTGGCCAAAACCTGCAAAAAAATAAATAAATAAAGAACAGATCTGAGGCTGGATGTGGTAGCTCACACCTGGAATCT